AACCTACATAAATATAGATGCAAGAGGACCCCAACAATAGTCACATTACAGCAACAGGGTCATGCAGCCAGACCAGGTACACCCACTCTGTGGGGCGTGGCTATTCCCATACCTAGGAAATCAGCAGCTGAACCCCTCAAACTCTGAAACCAGTAAGTTCAAGAGAATCACAAGACCCCAATAATAAATATCAATTTCCCTACACACTATCAATAAATCTGTGCACACCAAAATTACATTGTTTTAACATAACAAATTTCAGTTGGGGATGTACATCTGGAACTCTGTGTTTCGCCCTCACTGATGAAGCAACCAAAAGCTATCAAAAGATGAACAGAACTTACACGCTGGAAAGCACATTAAAGACCTAAATAAATGCGGTGAGGCCATGTTTGAGGACTAAAAGACTCAGAACACAATGGTGACAATTCTCCCCTCAAGCTTCCTTGTACCTTTCACATAGTTCCTATCACAGGGCTGGCACGATTGCTTTGTAGATGCAAATGAGGTTATTCCTGATTTCCATGGAAGGCAATGAGGTAGAATCACTCTGAGTTCAAGGCCGGCCTGACACCCTGAGAAAGCAGTGTCCACTCTATTGTGGTGATATGCGTCATGAGCTTCAAGCCTGGGTGTATGGAGCAAGGGGTGGACACACACGTCAGACGCTGCCTCACGGTGACATCGGACAAGGCGCACACCGTTTCCAGAAGGAAAGACAGCCTAGAGAAGGGCACGTGTATGGGCCGAAAACCGTACAACCCAGTCAAGCCCGTACAAAAGCTCAAAATGGACCAGGCACAAGGTAAAATACAGAACTAAAAGCCTGTAGGGTGTCGAGCTTCCGGCACATGTCTTTGTTTTGTTTGTTTATAGAGACAGGGTTTATCTATGAAACAGACCTAGCTGTCCTGGAGCTCAGTCTGTAGACCAGGCTGGCCTCTGACTCAGAGATTTGCCTGCCCTGCCTCTGCTGGGATTAAAGATTTGTGCCACCACCACCCAGTGTGGCACACTTTTTAATCCTTGCATTCATGAGACAGAGGCAGGTGGATCTCTGTGAGTTTGAGACGGTCTACAAGCAAGTTCCAGGACCAGCAGGGCTACATACAGAGAACCTGCCTCTAAAACTTAAAAAAAAAAAACAAGTTATAAGGCAGAGGGCCTGGAAAGTGGCTCAGTTGCTAAGAGCACTTGTTGCTCTTGCAGTGGACTAGGTTCAATCCCTAGCACCGGCACAAGGCACACATCGGGTAAACACATGCATGTGTACACGAAGCCATAAAGGAAAACTGTTGGACCCTTCCCCCACAGCCCAAGATTGCTACAGAAAACATCAGATGTCAATCCCTTGGTGGCATGCACATACATGCACACATGCATAAACACATGTACAGAGAGATGCACATGAGCACAAATACATTTTTAATATTTAATTTTAATGTGAGAGTGTTCAACATACGTGTATGTACGAGCACTACATGCGTGCAGTACTCGCAGAAGAGGGCATCAGATGCCCTGGAACTAGGATAAAGAGATGTGAGCCGCCATGTGAGTGAGAAACAAACCAGGGTCCTCTGCAAGGGCAGCAAATGCTCTTAACTGCTAAGACATCTCTAGCCCAACATTTTTGTAAAAATAAAATAAATAAAAAGCAGAACTAAGGTACAATCATATGCTTACACTACGGCACAATAAAACAGAGGGTCCCAAACTACCTGTGATTGGCTCAGAATATTGATGTGGGAAGGTAATACACCCAGTATAAGCACTTGGAACCCTGAATCCTGACCCTCCCCAGGCGCAGGCTGGGAAGTCAATCATGGAGACACACAATCACAAAGGCAAACAACTAACACACTGGCGTGTGCTGTGTCTCAAAGCTAGGATATTTGGTCTTGCCTTGGGCATTTTCTTATACTTTCAACTTATGATGGGTTTACTGAGACCATAACAGCATCCTAAGTCAGACATCATCTGTACTGACACTGGCAACAACCTAGACGTGTTTCCCATGGAACCATACTGACTGAAAAAGCCCAATCCACTCACATACTGCATGGTTTCCGTATTTTAATGTTCATGAACTGGCAAGACTACAGAAATCTAAACAGGAAGCAATTGCCAGGGGTTGGGACACAGCAGGGTAGCAGTGGGAGCTATTCTCATGAGGGTAAAACTATTGCGCTGCCTGACCCTGCAGAGGTCAATGTCTTGACTATGATACTGTTCTGTGTTTCTGTGAGTAGTTACCATCGGGGAACTGAATGAAGGGTATGCATAGAACTCATATTTCTTACATGAAACTACAATTACATCAAAATAATAAAAGAAATAAGACCCTGCTACCAGTGAAGCAGTACCCCTTCTCCGGGCCCAGCTAACCCAAACTGAAAGGTCACACCCACAGTGTAAGTCACCTGCTGTGGAGGACCCTCAGAGGAAATTTCAACCCTTCAGAATCTGACAGATGGCAGGGTCGCCCCAGGAATCTACCAGGGATGAGTCTTTAACTAAGACTGGCATGCAGAGGAGGGGCCCAGCACAAGCTGAAAGCCCAGGCTTGAGAGCCTGGGAACCTGCCCCAGACGACATGCTAGGGCATGAGGACAAGGTGCTTTTACAAGTGTGAAGAAATCCTGTTTCTCAATCCGCCGATGAGTAATCAAGAGTGCGGAGATTAATGGGAAAATATAAGTAGGCTTTGAATCCATGGACATAGCAGAGAACAGGAAACAGGCTTGAAAAAGCCTTTGGTACTAGAGGTATCCTGGTTCAACCTCCAAATTTCTAAGAAAAAAAAATTTAAGTACCATTCTCAAAGTGGATACTATTTCAATAGTTAGCTATTTCTTGAATTAAGACTAAAATTCATGTGGCTGTCAAGCTAAAATATGGATAACTCAGACCCCTTCTCGGACACTGCTGCCCTGCTCTCTGCTGTTATGCCAGCAATGGTGGAGGGCCACCCAAGCTCCCACTACATTATAGGACGATAGTGCTTTCCCAGCTTCAATGAAAGTCTTAAAGTGGCTCAAACCAGATGCGAGGAGAAGAGCCATCCATGCAAAGCTAGCACAGTCCCCAACTGCTGACCAGGTGAACCAGCTGCATCACTGGAGACTGGACTCTGGGTCTTCTGGACCTCGACTGCAGTTGAGAGACAAGGAAGTGAGTGCCAGGAGGAGAGTGTAACGCAGGGCAGCGCTGACACCAGCCCCAAGGAGCCAGCTACACAGCTGGCAAAAGCTTACTGAATAGGCACCGCTTGGGGGAGCTGGGTGGGTTACCTAGGCATAACTGGAGAAAGAGTATATATGTTTTAGTTAGCGTACATCTGCCACGACTCATTCCCTTGGATTCCAGGAAATGTATGGATCTACAGGTTTTACTTGTCCCAGCAAAATATAAGAAATGATGACCAAGCACCAAAAGACAGTCATCTCTTTCCCCCAGCGGAGTAGTGATTCACAGCTGTTTGACCCTATCCCAAATGTCAATCCTGAATATTTTTATCTGAGGACAAAAGCTGGGGAGCACAGGGTGCTACTTTACCCATGTCCTTCCAGGTCCCAAAGAAATGACATAACTGACAGCAGCTCCAACAGCAGAACCCACAACTATGACAGTGTGCAAGTTCTGGGCCAGGACCCAGCCCACCACCCAGTGTCCGCTGGCATACAACAGCACAAACTACTCAGGAAATGGCTTTGGGGCTTTTATTTTCAAGATGAAAGAGTGCCCCGGGGAAATTGGTCAGAAGATAACGGGGTATGTGCACGGACAGAACCCAGCTATCATTTACTAGGTCATGTTCTGAGAGCCATAGCTGGTATGGCAACTCATTCTCTTCTGGGATATATGAAACACCCACATCTACAAAAATATGGCCAAAACTCATTGCTTCTTCTTCCACTAGAACACAGAGGGGGAAAAAATATAAAACAAACCAGGTATGAGTATCTTTCTTTTCCCAAACTCACAATCCTACAAATAGTTGAAGTCAAGAGTTGACATTGAAAACTTACAGAGACAGTGTCCGGCTTCTGACCACAACTCCGAGTTAACAAAATACTGAGGGAAACGAAGGAAAGACTTCCTGCTACTGAACCTTCATGACCTTGAGATGCATGCTTTGAGGCGCCTCAGACAGGAATTCAACCTAGCCCTTCCTCCCCTTTTGAGCCAGACAACTTTTCTCACCCCACAACATATATACCATGTTCTCTCAACTTGGGAATATTTCACTCAGCATGCTAGGAATGCTTGTTATGCAAGCTATGTATTAGGCAAATGTTGATTCATGGAGAAAGTAAATGAGAAAGACAATGAGTTGATGCAAATTATAAAATACATTTCACCAACAGCACCCTGTACGTCACCTCAAAAAAGCCGCAGACACAAAGATTTACTGTGCCAGATGGTTTGTAATGACAGTTAGAATCCACTGTCATGCACACTACTTAACATACTTTTGAACCATAGTACCTAAGCACACGTGCCTTGAGGTAGGTGCCTGGTGGATGTTTGTAAGTCATGTCAGAGTTATACATACCCGTTAAAAATCTAAAACCATGAGTAAAAACTCACACTTTGCCAGTGTAATCCAAATTAAACACTCAATATGATGGGCTGATACTTTAAGTTTACAGCTAAATCTCAGACTTCCACTATATATTCCAATGCCTTGAACTACATCATTACCTACATCATTCAACCAGAGCACACACTTTCTACCTGGCTAAAAGAATCACCCTTGTATTTCGACACTTCACCTATACTGTGAAAACAATTTTTTGCCTTCCCCGTGCTTGCTTGCACTTACACTCGCCTGCGTGCGCGCATATGCATGCACGCGCGCACACACACACACACACACACACACACACACACACACACACACATGTAACTGTGCTGCCACCCCTAATTCAAGGTATCTGATGGAGCACTCGTGGCTACAGACTCATCACCGAAACACCAAAATGTAAATAATACTCTACTTGTCCACTTGTATCTGCCGCATGCTGGAAATGTGTAGCCAGAGACGTCTCATCCTGGAAGACTTCATTGCACTCCAAACATTTGAGACTGTGTCTACACAGCTTGGAGGGATCTTCATCTAGGGGCATAGCTGGGCTGATGGGTGTGCTTGGAGGCGCTGAAATCACCGCCCCAGTTATGCCAGACTGAATCTTTGTTACAGTGTGTGTGCCAGCCCCCACAGAGCTCTGCAGAGTGGAGGAAGCGGTATTGCTAGACGGAGAAACTATCATCTGGTCTGCCGGGACCGGCTTCAGAATTAAGTGGGAGCACTGCATCACCACGCCTTTCTCCTTATGCCCTCGGGCATGGGAAAGGAGGCTGCATTTGTTGTAAAAAACAAGGTTCTTTGTACAATGGTTGCACGTTACTTCGATGCGCACACTACGCCTGTCATAGTGCTGGGTCAGGCTCTTTTCCAGGGCGAAGGAGTCCCCACACTCCAAGCACTTATACCCACGCATTGGTAACGTGATCCCTGCATTGGCGGGAGGACTGAGGTTTGGGATGTAAACAGGGACTGGATTGACACTGCTCAGCACCTTGTTGAAAGCTTCCACCACAGAACTCTGCAAGGATGACACCACCTGGACCCGAGACACCTTTTTAGGTGGTTGGGAGGCCGCTGCATTAATTATTGCCTGCTTTATTTGTTGCTGAGGTTTGGTTAGCACTTGGCGGAGTTCAGAGGTGGCCTGGGCACCCTGAGGCAGAAGGTTAAGGTTGGCAAGGTGCACAGTCTTTGGCACAAGTTTGGCATTGGCCAGGCTGGATGCTGGCACCACAACAGTTTGCTGCTGGATGGCATTGGCAGCTTTGATAATGGCACTGCTGGCACTCTGAACAGAGGCAGCAGATATGACTGTGGCTTTCACTGTCGTGTTGTTAGCGAGCTTCAGATTGATGACTTGAGACCCTGCCGTCTTGACGGCAGACACAGGAAGGAAAGCAGTTGCCACAGGCTTGATGGTGACCTGCTTGGGGGTCAGCTCTGCAGGGGAAACTGCACTGGTAACCATGGCGGTCTGCAGAGGTGCCCTGGGGGGAGAGGAAAGGACAGCAGCTGATGCTGAAGATGAGAGAAGTGATGTCACAGATGCCATCACAGATGCTGCCTGCTCGGAAGGCTTCCTCCCAGCATCCAGATCCACTTCAGGCAACACTCTGGTCACTGTTCTTTTGATCTCCCCAGAAGATGTCTTGATGGTCTTGATGCGGACTTTGGGGATTGCTGGGGTAGACCCCACAGGAGACGATGGGGACCCTTTACTGCTGTTCTCACTGGATATGCTCCTGGGACTATCCGATGGCTTCAGGGAGGCTTTCTTGGTGCCATCAATGAGATTCTGAGATTCAGGAGACTTGTCGGCAGCTTTGGGACTGTCATTCACTTCCTTTGGTAATGGAGAAGCTTCCCTTGAGTTGGCCACGACTTCTTTGCAGGAGTCTGAAGCAGCTTTCTTAGCACTCAGGGCTGCGATGGCAGCTATGCACGAGGAAAGCTTGGAGGACGACTTCGTTTTGGAAGATGTGACGGCAGCAAGGCTGGTGTCACTCTTCTCAGAGCTCAGTTTGCCATCAAGGACCCTGTTCTCAAGCATCTTCTCAGAGTTTTCCTTCAATTTGTCCTCTGCTTTCCTGGCCTTAAAAGGCTCGTAAACACTCAGGGCTATGGAATTTGTTTCCGTCTCTCGCTTGACTTTGCTCTTCTCTACATGGCCTGGTGTAGAGATTCCAGTCTTGCTTGTGTTTTCCCCTCCGAGTGACTTTAGCTTGTCGTAGTCTTGCTGGGGAGCTGAGCCAGTCAGGACATTTGATCTGAAACTCGACCGCGTATCCTCCTTATCGGGAGGGTCGTCAACCTCTATCTTCTCATCCTCGTCAAACTCCTCAGCACTGGAGATGGGGCTGAACTGGCTGAATGCTGGGTCTTTAAGAGTCACCTCTGAGGTAGGTGTGTCTCCTTTTATGGACTTTGTGCCATCCTTACCATAGCTGTCAAGAGAGGATGCTGTGAGAAACCCGTTATGCAAGCCATTGCCTGTGGAGTTGTGGCTGTCTTTTTCAGCTCCCTCAGAGGAGTCCATGTTGCGAACATTCTTCACAATGACACTGACGCCAACATCTGAGGATGAAGGAGCATGAGAGTCGTCATCCACGTGAGCACTCTGCTTGATGTGGCTGTCATGGTCCTCGTGTCCAGATTCAATCGCTGCTTTGGGATCGACCATATCTGGTATATCAAATGCTGCCAAGAGGTCATCAAAGTCTGGGGTCTTCATATCCCCCATGGTCATGAATTTGATCAGATGTTCTATGAAAGGAAGAGAAAAGAATTCCATCAGCAATTGACACTGATAATGACCATTTCCGTCACCATCAGCTTTGGGATGCTACACAAATAGAAGATTACAATAAAAACTGCAGATTTCAAATTTCATCCACAGAAGAATGAAATGACCACATAAACCTACCACAAGGTGTTCACTACATTCACCTGGGATTTGTTTTCTTCTTAATCTCTAAGGAAGAAATCCCATCCATTTTTAATTCTAGCTTTCCCTGCTGTGTTGAAAAAGAAACATTGAAAAAGAGTAGGATGGGGGATTGTAGGGGAAAAAAGGTAAGTTAAGTCATTACAGAGACAAAAACGATGCAAACACGTGCAGTGCTAGGGTCTTTCTTTAGGAAACACCATTGGCAGAGAAAAGAGAGTGGGGGATGGAAGGTACCCCCATCTCTGAACATGGACAGTCCCACCTTGGGGCTCTGTTATGTTCTGGTATATCATATCCACTGTGTGTATACTTGTCTCCTGTCATCTGTCATCTGAGGACAGGCAATGTGTCACTCATCTTTACATCATAAATGCTAAAGAATGAACAAGTCATACATCAGGAGCCAAAGATAAGATCTGTAACAGAGTGAGTGCCTGGCCTCTGCTCTGCCACTCACTAGCTCTGGACCCAAGAAGAAAGAGAGTCTTTGGACTTGGCCCTTCCTTCAGTAGTAAGGGCCAGCAGCCAAGAAGAGAAGGAAAACAGAAAGGAGAAAAGGGAAACAGGAAGAAGGGAGTCAGTCGGAGGGGACAGGGCTGAGGCTGATTTGGAATCCTGTGATGGGCAATCAGCCTAGAGGTCTTGTAGGCATACACCCCTGGACTCTTCACTCTCCAGTATTCCCTATGCTGCTCCTCTTTTACATCTGCCCTGCTGGTCTCTGAGACTCTGTCTTCCACATTTTATTCAAGTACTTAACAGTTTTCTTACACACTCCGTAAAAGGTCACGCACACCTGAGGAGAGCAACAACCTTGAGATCAAGGTAAAATCAACACAGATAAGAGTAGATATCTAGGAAAACCATGAGCCTCAAATACACCGCAGTTCAAAAGACTCTCAGCATATTACGAGTACAGGGACAGAGCTAAAGCCACTAAGACTTCGGAGAAACCCTCTGTTGAGGAAGAGACAAAAGTTCAATGGGTGCAGAAGCATAAACCATCCCAGTTACACGAAGCTGGGAAGGTGCAGGGACTCTTCTCCTGGTGATCTCCTTACCTTGAGGCAAACTGTGGTCACTATATTTTTACTGCTGGACCAGACAAAGAATGACATATCCCCAGCATCATACTATCTCCAATACAAAGGCTGCACCCAAGAAACAGAAACACTCCAAGAGTAATAAGCCTGACATTAAAATGTCTCTGAGAAGTCACCCACTGAGAGCAAAGCCTGTGACTGTGACTTTCTTTTTCTAAATGGCACTGAGCATTCAAACTGCAAAATGTGGGACACAAAAAGAACATCTGCTGGCTAGTACGGCCATATAAAAGAACCCACCCACTTGAGTACTTGAGTGCAGCCCCTGAATGTCAGCACCCCTGCCAGAGCATCATATTGCTGCTGGAAACTGAACACCCATGTTGAAGCTCCACCAGGCAGGCTACTCCATGTTTTAGGTCTTCAGTTCCTGAAAGTTCAGTGCATGGAATCAGGCTAGGGTTCACGAACAGCATGCTAGGGTTGATACCCACCCAGCACCACAGAAAAAAAAAGGGGGGGGCAGAATCATGAACCACCCCTTTCACCCAGTACCACAGTCAAAAGGCAGATCTTTAAAAGAGCACAAGCTAGAACTCAGACTGTCACCCCCAGTGGTAGCTGGGTCCTAAGCACCTCACTTTCTTCACAGGAACATGATTTGTGCCTTACCCTTTCTTTATGATGATGTCATCAAAAGGCTGCACACTGCCCATCAGAAACAACAACAGCAGGGGAGAATTCAATTACTCACTGGGTGACGGGCCCAGGACAGAAAATGACAAGAAACAATGAAAGGCCATCATGAGAACCCAAACAAGCAGGTGCACACAAGTACTGTGGCGGGTGTTCCTAGGCGCCTTCTAAAGAACCAAATCTGTCCGCCACTACCTTCTGCTGTTTTACCTACGGGACCCGCCGGCCTCACCCACTCCACAGGCCTGCATCAACTACTCAGCTTGCTGCCCCACATTCCCCAAGCTTCCCTGCATACCAAACTCAAGCACGCTGAGGTTTGTCAGCCTCACACAGGACTGGGTCCATCTGCAGCACACATGGGGGAACGGACACAAGAATGTCTGGGCTCACAGGAAGCAGCCACACCCAGCTCCTTGTCCCTTCTCTCCCTTCACACAGTTCACCCTCTTCTCTTGGGAACGGTAAGAGATTGGCATTCAGCAGATTTAAAGCTAGTTACCACCGGCTCCCCTTCAGCAAGCCTGGCGCTGGGCTAAAGGACAAAGCAAGTACAATGGACAGCCTGAAACCCGAGACCCTGTGGCGGGCAGGCTCACCTCTCTGGGTTGTAAAACTAATGTAATAAATGCTACTCTGTAACTTCACATCTCTCTTAGTTGACAGAAATGTTTTTCATACCCACAATCACCCGCCCCATCACCCTGACCCCTCCTATATTCTGGAAGCCAAAAGCAAACAACCTACCTGCGCAGAGGGGAGCTGCTTGATACCCTGAATACAAAGAAGAAGCCTTCTCTGTTTCCCTCACTTTCCACATGCCTAAGCATTAACAACCAAGTCTTTTGCTTATAAATCATTTAAAAGAACGAATCTCTGTCTTTTTAACTTTTGTTACATTTATTTGCATATGTATGCCTATGGGTGTGTTCCTTTTTGAGGAAGATCATGTGCCTCCCTTAAGAAGACCAATGATCCAGCTGGACATGGTGTCACATGCACTTGGGAGTCACCCCAGCACTCAGGAGGCAGAGGCAGGCGGATGAAACCCTGTCTCACTCACACACACACACACACACACACACACACACACACACACACAAGGTCATTTATTTATAAATACCCATTATTTACTAATAACAGTGTACTTAATATATAATGCCAGGAAAAAAATGGTAGGCCAGTTTACAATTAGAATTACAGGAAAATCTTCAAAAGAAAAACTTCAAAAAACCTACTTACCCCTTAATCATGCTTCTTATATTATATTTTACAATAAAAAGCTGTTCAATTAAAAAAAAACATTTTATCTGTAATAAAAGTTGCTTTGCAATTTCCAACTAGAAAGTATTTGTAGAGCATGATGGAATCCGTTTATAATTCTTCTGCCACTCTGTCAGTAAAGACAGCAGACAGAGTCAGCAGTCAGCAAGATCAGGCCAGCCTAGCTCAAAAGACCCAGGTTCAAAACAAACAAAACCATTCATTCATGCCCTGAACTTGAGAGGCAGAAACAAGTGGTCTCTGTGAGCTCCAGTCCACCAGGGTTACATAGCAAGACTCTACCTCAAAAATAAATAAACCAAAGAAAAGAAGGAAGGAAAGAAGCAAAAAGAAAGGGGGAGGAGGGCAGGCAAAACCAAGAGAAAGTCAGGGTTAGAAGACTCAGGACATCCCACCACTAAATCGAAATCCTACTAGTCCCATGAAGAAAGATGCAGGCTTAGATGGACCCACAGTTCTACCTTAATGTAAACATGAACAAGGCCTCAGTGAATAAAAGAGGCTGCTACCAAGCCTGACCACTGAGTTTGGGTCCCTGGAGCCAGCATGGCACCAGAAGAGAATCGGCATCTACAGGTTGTCCTCTGACTTCCACATGTGCCCAAAAGAGCACCCACATACAAAAATGAATGGAATATAATGGAGACATGCCAGATTCCCCACATAATCAAAAAAAATTGCATTCCTCTTAATGAAAATAAGTGATTGTTATAAACCATAACTGTGGTATTTAAAGAAAGAAAAGTTTAGCCAGGCATTGATGGCACACACCTTTAATCCCAGCACTCGGGAGAAAGAGGCAGGAGGATCTCTGAGTTCAAAGCCAGCCTGGTCTACAGAGCAAGTTCCAGGACAGCCTCCAAAGCAATACAAAAAAAAAAAAAAAAAGAGGAAGAAGAAGACGATGACAAAAGTTCAGCCTGGAGGTGGTGGCGGTGGCACATGCCCTTAATCCCAGCACTCAGGAGACAGAGGCAGGCTGATCTCTGTGAGTTCCAGGCTAGTATGGTTTACAGACCGAGTTCAAGGACAGCTAGGACTGTTAAACAGAGAAACCCTGTCTCAAAAACTCAAAAAGAGGATGGAAGGAAGGAAGAAAGGAGGGAGGGAGGGGGGGGAGGGAGGGAGGGAGGGAGGGAGAAGATGGGCTCTGCAAACTCCCCATAAAACAGTGACCACACAGGGCTTACTCTCCGGTCACTGTTGTTAGCGCTGTGTGATCATGGTGTTTCTTTATTCCACTGAATTTTCAAAGTAACCAAGTTAAACTAACAGGCCTAACACATGGCTTTATCGTTCTCCTTCAGATGTAAAATGTTCTTAACAGCACATGCTTACATAATTATGCACAGTTTCACATTTACCTAACTCTTCCCAAAAATGAATAGTGTACCCATATTCTCCACACTCTCCCTCCACCTGGAGGAAACCTGAGCTCTCCCTCTACCACCAATCTCTTTTCACTTGAGGGTTTTCAGGGATAACCACATGGCATATCTTCAATCAGAAAAGAAAGAAATCTAACCTAACTCCAAGCAAGCTCTTGCTTCTATTTGACTTGGGTCTCTAACCCTATCACCTGAGGAAGCACACTGTTTTGGCCATAGGTCAAACTGCCCAGGCAGTGTGCTTTTTTCCTTGGTTACAACATTCCTGATTTAAACCTGACAGACATGAGCTTCAAACTGCTTCAGGAAACACACAAAGGGCTGCTCACTAAAGCCATTAATCACAACCTTGGGAAACAGGCACGCATCATCCCAAACCCTTCCCTGCAGCATCAACTTTTCCCT